TTCCTCCTGCATAGAGCCTTTGCATACATAGTATTTATTCTGACTGGAAGACCCTTCACCTCCACACTCCCCTTCACTAATTAACTCACATTCATTCTTTCATATCTTAGCCCAAGCATCACACTTCCTCAAAGTCGTCTAAAGCAGTCACCTACTCTTTCATAGGACCTTCTTATATTCTTTAGTGATACATGTGCATTCCCCCACTAGTCTGTAAGCTCAACAAAAGCCAGGACATTATCTGGTTTTGCTTACCAGTCTTTGTAACCCTGGAATGTAACATGGTTGATGAAATAAATATTTGCTAAATGTATAAGAGTTCACCTCTGCATTCCTAGTATTTACCAATGCTTAATATAGGGTAAATGTTCATAAAATCGTAACTGAACCAAATAAATGGTTATGAAGCAGAGAAATAAGTTAAATGCCACAAACTAACAAGTGCAAGGAACTTTTTTGAAGGTATAGAGGTTTCAAAGATTAATGTAAAATGAAAGGTATCCTATTTGCAAAGAGTTTTCAAACTAAGACTACCCCTACAGTTGTCATTTTATTAATGCTCAGAGAAATATTAGTCTTTAAGTTTACCTCCATACATTAAAATACACAATCAAATTATACTTACACGCATAATCCGCAATCACAGGCTTTGCATGAGAAACCTGACTTAGCAAAGAGGATTTCCCAGCATTTGGGAATCTAAAATGAGAAAATGAAATTATAAATTACAACAAATATCAGTATCATGATACCTTCTTACCTCTGAAATTCTAATTCAAGAAGAAGACCTCTTGAATATTTCTAGGATTAAGAGTCTAATATAGATTAAAAATTATCTTGAAAAATTTAGGAACAAAATGTACTTGTAAAAAAGATACAGACCTATTCATGCTGGAAACTTAGTATGTTTCAATAATGAGGGAATAAAATAATTTTTCACGGAAATCCTCCATGAAGTGGATTGACACAATAGCTGCAACATACCAACAGGGCTCAAACATACCAAGGATTGTCGAGAATGGCAAAGGACTGGGCAATATTTCGTTCTGTTA